ACCATTCACAGCAGCAAAATACAATAAATATACGAACAATAAACAAGCACGTGTTTTTCTGATTCCATGTTCTCTGTCTTTTACAACTTAACCACTTCACTTGACTGTACCCCTTATCTATAATTCCTGAAACTTACTTAGAATAATACTGTGGGGTATTATGTTACACTCATGAATGTTTCAAAGCAGAAGGCACAACTAAGAAGTCAGATGCTATCCGAAAGACACTCGAAACATGAAAAAAAGCTTTAGCACAATTCGAAAAAGCTGAACTTTAACAAATACATGGCAGTACACTACACTGAAGAGATTTTAACAAATTTATACAATTTAACAGCAGATAGAACAAGCTTCATTTATTCAAAGATTGTGGTTTATTCTACAATCCTACTCTTTTCTGTTTATTCAGGTTCACCAGGAGTGAATTTTTTTTTATTTACTAGCTGAGCAGCTAACAACCTCCACCAGCTAAGCCATTATTAATATGCTATTTTCCTGAGCATTACAGCACCAAATATTCAATAAAATTATTCCTGTCTTATCAAATAACCATTACATTTATGCCCTTTTCAAATCTGTTTTGTACTGAGAAATACAACTTATAACTGCCACTCTCAATTCAACAGCAAACATTACAAATGTGATGATGAACCACTGTGGTGGGTTAACCTTGGCTGGATGCTGGGTGCCCTCCCAGTTGCTCTATCACTCCCCTTCCCAGATGGACAGGAGAAAGAGTAAGGTGGAGAAACAACTCGTGGGTTGGGATAAGGCAGTTTATTTAAAGGAAAAGCAAAGCTTGCACACACAAAATCAAAGCGAAAGATAGCAGGGTTTATTCTCTACTTCCCATCAGCAGCAGCCACTCCCGAGAAGCAGGGCTTCAGCACGCGTAAGGGTTCCTCAGCAGGCAGCCATTAGACAATGAATGCCTGCCTTCCTGATCCTTGTCTCAGCTTTTATATCTGAGCTGCATCATATGGTATGGGACATCCCTTTGGTCAGTTTGGGTCAGCTGGCCTGCTTGGGTCCCCTCCCAGGATCTTGCCCTCAACTAAGGAAAGAATGTTACAATGTTGGTGCTGTGCTCAGCAGTAGCCAAAACACCGGTGTGTTATCAACACCCTTCTAGCTGCCAACGCAAAGCACAGCACTATGAGGGCTGCTGTGGGGAAATGAACTCCAGCTCAGCCAGACCCAATACAACCATGTAAGTTACAATATGCTGTTAATGTATAAAATAAGATTTTTCCAAATTTTCTAAAGCAAAAAGTTAGGTATAAACAGAGCCGGCAAACAGCAGCAAAGCTGACAAACCAAGTACTGAAATTAAGAGATTCACAAACTGGGGATCAAAACCTAAATGCCACCCTCTTTGGAATATGCATTATGTGATTGTGTAATTATTTCACAGAGCTTTTCTCCGTAAATGCCCAACTCTTTTATTAAAGAGGATGGAGTGCCCAGAGTATAAGTCAGCAGTCTGTCAGAGGGGTTCACCTTCACGACCCTACCACACACCTTGCTGTAATTGTATGTTTTCCAGTTACTAAACAGGAAATTTCAGGGAACAAAGAAGTCGTGATTAATGCATTTTACCACTATTCTGGATTTTACTTCTGCTTCTGGCAAAGAGTGCTTACATAATATGCAACAATTCACAAACTTTTCACTAGGTCTTAATGATGGGAATTTTTATTGATGGGAAGTTTTATGCTTAAGTTCAATTTCCTAATGTCTCAGCTTCTCATGTTAAAATAAATCACTTCCAAAACCATAGTATGAAAAGAAGAGGTTGTGAGACCCTTAAGATCAAGTGGTGACAAATGCAAGCTGTCTTCAGACCAAGACTTCAATACCATATAGAAAAATGCCCAAGACATGACAAACTATTAAGTAGTTATTCATTAAGCATTTTCTTACTAGCCCTTAATAAGACAGGGCTGCAGATGGAGTACAGTATTATGCAAGCAATATTGTACAGCATACCTAAAGGACAGATTAATAGTACACTCACAATGGGTTTTTTTTCCATGAAGAAAAAGTTTCATATGATTGTCTTAATAGAGACCTGCATCACAGAAATGTCTCACAGGATGCAATTACTGCTGTGACTCCATATTCACCCAATCAACAACTTCAGGGAAAGATTTGGTCTGAGCACTAACTCTCCTCTCAGCAGAAAATAAGAGCAACCAGATCAAAAAGCCTAATAAAATACCATTTTTGCTCAAGGTGCAAGTCCACAACATAAACAAGGTCCTAAAAGGCCAACTAATACATTTTAAATTTGAGTAATTCTGACAAACCCACACAGTTGGCAAGAAATCAGTCAGTGAAATGCAGCAAAGTTACGAGTATAGAGTTTTCTCTACAAACTGCTATGACACATCTCTATTGTGAGCACATTAGTAAGAAACCAAGATATGAAAAAGAAAGTTTAGAATTGTATGTGGTTAAACCATCTGGTTTTCTCTCCAGTGTAGAAGGTAGCAATGCAAAGGAGGCTGGTTAGGATAGAGCAAACAGCTATCCAAGATCCGAAGTAGAATGATGTCATGAAGCACAAGTCACTCAGATTAAAAACAGCACTAAGTCCTAATTTATTGAAAATTTATTTTTATCATCATCAGGGAAACACATACTACTGACTACACTCTAAACCAAACTTAATACTGCATTTAAACTTGCAGGAGGAAATAAAAAAAATTACAGTCATGCTTTCAAATATGATTTCATGCTACAAGATGACAGCAATCAAAACCCTCCATCCAATGAAACTGTCCTATGAGGAAAAAAAACCCTCAAACAACACACACACAAAATAGCCATTTCAGAAGCACCCTTGCTGGTTCTTAAGAATTCTTACCAAAACTTCCTATGCACTGTATGCAACCACACACACAGCTCTTAAAAAGAGAGGTAACTATCTTTTCTCAAACCCTGAAAACAAAGCTATGAATTCCATTGGTTCACTACTAAGAACAAGTTTCCAAAATAAACCTTTGCAAAGAAATGCTACAGTTACCTAACGCAAATGTTACACAGCAGAAACTTTCTGCCTGTTTTCATGCAGAGTATTTTAAGCCCTTTAAATCCCTAATAAAATGGTGAATACTCCACAATACCACGACTATCTCTACTGTATAATAAACCTCTCCACCAAGTTTTTGCAATCCATTTTTATAAGGTAAACACATCAACACTATGATTAGGACAGAACTAAGTGGATTTAATATAGCTCTTAGGATAAGTTTTATCTTAGGATAAGAGCATACATGCAGTATACTTCCTGCTGGAATGAATTTAGGCTTTCCTCTCTTCTCTTGCTGCTTCTCTTCTCCTTCCCCCCCTTCACCCCCCCAGCAAAAGAATCTCTTTTCCTTTTCCTAGACCCACTTCCCACACAGTGCAAAAAAACTCCTCCCTGTGAAGTGATGATCTCATGCTCCTAGCCCATCTCCTTGTATGGAGCAACTCCAGGCTTGCCGCCAGCTTTCTCTGCCTTCAGCCTGACACGGCAACATACCTTCCTTCACCCTGCTGCTTCCCAGCTGAGGGAACATCCCATAGAGGACAGGCAAACCGGGCAGGCAGAGGGGGTCTCCTCACGGACAAAGAACAGACCACCAGATGTCTGCCCCACAATCATATCTGGCACAAACCTACTGCAAGTTCAACAAAGCCCCTCTGCTCTCCACTGCAGGAAGAATGACACTGAACTATGAACATTTTTAAGTATGGAAATACATCTTATCCAACTGTAGTGTGACTCACCCCTCACAGCCAAATCTTGCTTCCCATTATTTTCCTTAATCCAGTGAAGGAAAAGTCACCTCTACTTCTCTCTTAACATAAACCCATCCTACCTTCCTTTGCAGCACTCTAAAGTTCCCCAGCCCATTCTATGGCCTGTCTTTACTTTCAAGTACCGACTTATTTATACATGATCACTTTATACATTGGCAATAAAAACACCAATTGATGAAGGACCTCTCTCTGAAACATTCAGCTGTGACATAAAGTTACTGTAGAAAATCAGGAAAGGTGATGGATAATTGAGTTTTTGCTTAGTTAAATAACCTTGCACATACAGGACCTGATATTCTCCTTCAAAGAAATATCTCCGAACTCTTCTGGGGTTAGCATTCCACACGTGAATATTTTAAAGTTGTAAGAGTACAAACATTTTCTGTCAACACACTAAAAAGGAATTTATAAAAGGATAAAACATACATTGGTGTCACCAACAATAATTTATACTGTATAACCGTCAATCGTTTACAATTTGCTTTGACTGTGAGTGTGAATGTCCCATCTCTTTGAGTCTTCCAAAGACTAGCACTCACATGTAGTAAACTGTACCACCAATTTCTTTATTTAATTAGCAGGTAAAATTAACTTAAAATAATACCCAGTAAATTTTTTTGGTCAAAAAGTTTCACGTCACCCAGATTTTTTTACATATCACAACTTCTCAAAGGAAGCACCATTAGAACACAGCAGAGCATCAAAGCCACTTGGAGCGGGTCTGTTTTCAAAGCAGGGAAAAGTTATGTCACCTACTTAAAAGGCAATGAAATGCCCTCTTGCAAACAGAAAACGAGCTGGCTCGTTTAAAATCTAACAAAACCCCAGATGTCTGTGTCACTTCCAGAGGCGTATGCTTACCTGAAGTCAAACCAAACAGAAACATATTACAACACGATAGGGGATTCTCAAACACTGAAGATGTATTTAGTATCCCTGCAGACACCAAAAGCACAAACCCACAAAGCACTAAAACGCGCAGGAAAAGAGGAGGCAGCAGGACTGGGAAGGCCACTTCTCCCACCGTGCGGGCTCCAAATCCAATATAGGAGTTAAGAAAGCCAGCGCTGCCACGGGAGGGGGAGGAAGGAAGAAGAACAAAAAAACCAGCCCAAACCAAACCTGCGGGGCTGTTACATTTACTGGGGGGGGGGGCGGCGAGGGCGCAACATCACAGTGTCGGGCCACTGCTAGTCCCGGCACAAGCCGGAGCACGCGACGGGAACACACAAGGCGGGTACCAAAGAAACCGGACCTGGCAGAAAAGAACAGGACCGCGCACCAAGCACCAGGGACCAGCGCGGCACCAGGCTGGGACCGGGATCGATCTCACCCTGCATCCCCCATGAGCCGGGCCGGGGGGGCGGGATCGGCTGTGCCGGACGCGCCGGGGCGGAGCCGCCGCCGGCCGAGCGGCGCCCCTGACGCCGACGGGGCCGCCACCGGATACGGACGCCGCCGCCCCGCCGGGGCACAACAAGAGCGGCGCCGGTGCCCGCCCCGCCCCGCCCCGCCCCGCCCGCAGGTAGAGGCGGAGCAGGGCCCGCCCGCCCCGCTGAGTCGGCCGAGTGTCCCGGGTGTCCCAGAGTATCCCGGGTGTCCCGGGTTGTTCCAGGTGTCGCGGTGCCCGGCGGGGGCGGTCCCGACCCGGCGGGTGCCCCCCCGTGCGGACAGTCCGTACCTGACAAGCAAAGCCCCCCCTGCCGCTGCCGCTGCCGCCGCCGCGCGCGCGCGTCATGGGCCCCGCCCGCGCTGCGTGACCCGCGCGGGCCAACTGGCGGCGTGCGGCCCGGTTCCTGCCCGGCCAATCGCGGCCCGGTCCGCCTCCCTCGCGCCGTGACGCGCTCGCGGAGTGGGGGGAGGGCACGAGCGCCACCGGCACCGCCCCCGCTGCGCGCGCGCCCCAAGTATCCAGGCAACGCCGATCCCGCGTCGCCGGGACCACCGCAGGACACCGGTGAGCGTCGGGTGGTTGATCCGGGAGATGTAGGTGCCGACGTGAGGCTGAGAAGTGGCAAATGCTGAGAAAGGAACTCCTGGGAAAGGGGCGTGACGGGCAGATGGACAAGGAGTCCCCCCCGTCAGGGAGAGGCAGCGAGAAGCACACACAAAAAAAAAATAAAGAGAAAGGGACAAAAAGAAGAGGTGGAGAGGAGAGAAAAAAGAATGGGTGAAAGAAAGAAGTGGAAAAAAGAAGAAGAAAAAAGAGAAAAGGGGGTGAAAGAAAAGAAAGAAGGGGAAATAAAGGGAGGGAAGGAAAAAAAGCAGAAAAAAGAAGGGGAAAAGGGGGAAAAACAGAAGGGGTGAAGGGAAGGAGAGAAAAAAGAAGGGGGGAAGAGAAAAGGGAGAAAAAAAATAAGAGAAAAAAGAGAAAAGCTGGGAGAAAAAACAAAAAGGAGGGGAAGAAGCAGGAAAGAAGCAAAAAAGAAGGGGAAAGCGGGAAATAAAAAGGAAGGGGGAAGAAAAAACGGGTAAAAGAAGGGGAAAGGAAAAAAAAGTAAGGGGGAAGGAAAAAAGTGGAGGGTAAAAGGAAAAAATGGGGGAAAATGAAAAAAATAAAAAGAAGAAGAAAAAAAATGAAAAAAGAACTCAAGTGTCCTGGTTAGAACGGCTGGGACCAATTCATCCCTGGATGGGTGTAACCCAAAACTGTGTATTCTATAGCCTCCATGCCATTTCCCAAAAACTGCTGTCAGTAGAGGCCTGCAAGGTGGGAAGATGTTCCTGTACCCTTTTATGGAATTCCCCGCTCTGATATCCTTATATGGAATTCCCCGCTCTCATAAGAGGGACTGAGCATCCGCATGCCCTTTTATGGAATTCCCTACTCTGAGGGAGGGACTGAGCACTCCCGCCTGAACTGGAGAGTATATAACTGGGAGTTTCAGAGCCTTGGGGGCTCTCTCGTGGGACCCAGAGGAAGACAGCAGACCACCGCTGCTCCCAACCAGGCTGAGACCACCACCCTCAACTGGACTGCAATCACCACTTCTGACCAGACTCCAGCAGCTCTCCCACCAGCAGGTTTTATCCCCTCTCCCTTTGCTTTGGACTCGGGGGGTGGGCCAAGGTACACCACTTTTGTTCATACCCCAGGGTGCTGGGTTTGTACATTTGGGTTTTGTGGGTTAAAACCAATTGTCTGTCTGTATAATTGTACTTATTGCATTATTTTAATAAATTGTTATTCTGACTTATAAATCTCTCTTTTGAATTGAGTTCATTTTGCCTTGCTGGTTAACTTTTAAACCAGCACATCAAGAAAATGAAAGAAAAGCTATTATTGTGACACTACCTTGACAGGTTTAGGGAAAACCCATGAATGATAATTTTTTTTTTTATATTGTCTTTTGCAATAGATTGTGTTCAAACCAATTTAGAAAAGCAATGTAATGAAGTAGTAATAACAAAGTCTGGGAACACAATCCATTTCATACATACAGAAGACCCCTTAACAGGTTAGATCAGAGTTACAGATAAATATCTTTCTTGAGAATTTGCCAATCAATGATATTTAGGAAGGAGTCTAAAAAACAAGATGTGCACAGAGCAATCATATTCCTATCCATAGCTTCTTTTTAGACCAGAGTGTTTAAAGAGCTCTAGTGAAACTTTGCTGTGTGCAGTTTTCCATCTCTGTTTAAGATATTCATGCCTTTGTCTTCCAAAACAGCTTATAGAAATAATTTCCTTTATTTATCTGTTTATCAAATGAGAAAAAATTACATTCCTTTGTACCTCATCTGTATGCACCTTGAGGCAAATTGAGACCTATATACAGTTAGAAAGAAGTTTGCATGATGAAGGAAGAAAAACCTATGTAGCTTTATTTGAAAGTGGTGGTTTAAGATGTAATTTACATTTGGATATTTCCAACCTTGTTAGAGTTGGGATAAAAATCTTAGATGCAAATACTGAATTCAGTATAAGAAGTCATCAATTACAGGGTTTTATGACAAATGCAGGTGCAAACAGCCTGATTCGGTTTTGGTTCAGCTATATTCAAACATAAACTATTTTATTTGTCAAATATCTTGTCAGTCTCATATACCTATGAAAATGTTGAATGATTTTTCTCTACAGTTTGGTAACTTAGCTGACCTTTACACCCCTCAACTTGGTGAAAACTGGTAGACAATGGTATGAGGGTAGAAAAACCTCTCCTCACTAGTCTTCTGATTAGAATTTTTTAAATTTTTTTGAAGAACCTACTTGATTTTTGAGAAAGGATTCTATGTGATTTTTTTTTTGTAACAGGTTTTTTTTTTCCCAAATCTTTCATATATTTGTTGAAGATGAAAAGGAGATAGGCCTATACTGTAGTCACTGCAGTGTAGTATAGACATATGTAAAATATTCTGAAAATCGAATTGTTAACTTTATGTAAAATCATTCAATTATTAATTGGATACACAAAGCTTTAAAAGTATATCAAAGTATTGCAATTAAAATCCAAATTAGCAACTTTGTTTCTAAAAGGACACAGATCTTCATCCTTTTCTCTCCTCCCTGTCCCAGTCTTTTGGTTCTGCACGCATTCCTTCACTCAGCCCAATACATGACTTCCTCTGCCCTTTCCTACCAGGCCTGACCCAAGGCCCACTGCCTAACACCAGAAGCAGAGAGGCTACATCCTACAAGTATCCAGGGGAGATGAAAAGGATCAGGGAAATGGATGTGCTCTTGCTTCAGCACATTGTGTCAATCCCTGGATGTACTTTCTTCCAGCCTTTTCACTTTGCTCCTGTAGCAGGATGCTCTTCCTAAGCAGGGGGAAAACAGCTTGAACTTGACCCTGTGTACAAAAGCCATCTGTGGATGGAGAAGGGGCCTCATGCTGCTTTTGGTGTTGAATGAGATCAACCTGAGATCATCAACCCTGAAGTTAAACATGCTGAGAATGTGGAGATCAAGGTTTCCTGACAGAAACTGGCACAGGTGGATATGTGGCAGATGAAGTTCCTGATAAAGGAACCAACAAGTGATACTTCTGATAACTTATCTAAAGCTGCTGAGCTGACACAGCCAGCCTGGAGACACCTGACTGACAGTCAAGCACTTTATGCTATAAAAGCCCAACCTCTCTTTTTACAGAGAGGGAATTCTAACACATTCTTTCTTGTAGCATGTGTGAAGATTCCACTCTTGAATGGGGACACCCCTCAGGGTTACTCCTCAAGGCTAAGCCCATGGTTGTTGGTATGGGTGAGTAACATCCATCTCTACTTAATAATTGTTTTACTAGCTTTGATATTGTTCCTTCAATATTGCTTCAATAAATTGTACACTATACTAGTAATTATAACTATCTACACTGTGTAATAATGAATTCTGATTAAGGTTTCTTAGTCTAAGCATTATTATAATCAGTTTAAATATGTAATTTTTCTATATTGGTTTGCTATCCTTAACTCTGCAGAACAAAGCTGTGTAAAGGTTCAATTACATCTATACTTTCAGACATAAACTGTTGACCAAGTCTGGGGCTGGGATTGGATCCAGCCACACCTTGGCTTCTCTCTGAGGAGGAAGTTAGAAAGCAAGAGTGTCTTTTCTGAGCCTCGTGGGTTTCCCTGGTAAATCTTGTTGAAAACTGCCATTCTACCCAGAACAGCTCATACACATCAAATCCTAAATACTATATCTTCATGCTAAGCCAAAGGTGATTGACACCAGTACTTTAAACCTGCTGGTTTGGACAGCAGTGGCATTGAAGCATTGTTTCAGACCGTACTGCAAAACTGCCTCCCAAGAAACTCAGCAACCACCTGAACAAGTGCCAAGTTCTGCAGTGTAACACCTCAAAAGCTACCAGGCAGAGCACTTTATGGCCCAACTAGCTGAAAAAATAGCAACTGTCCAGTAAAAATACATGAAGAAATCAGTTAAGTATCCTGGGTCTTTCTTCACTTCTCACATGACCTATCTTCTGTAAGCTCATGCTTCAATTTCTTCTGGCTTTCCAGCCACCAGAGAATTTCCAGTCTTTCTATCATAATCTATTCACCCACCATTATGAACCTAGAAATATCAGGGATTTCCTTCTTACATGGTAAAAATCTTGTCCTATTCAATTAAGCTCTATATTTCAAGAATCCTTTTCCTTTTGTTCCTCTGCTGCAACTCTTCTGGCACATTGCAAGTCTATAATTGAGTCAGCACATTTTCTTAATTTTTGATGCTTCTTTTCTACCTTTGTCTAATTTCTTTGTTTATGGCTCATTGCCTAGGATTTCTGTATGTGCCATGCAAGTTTTCTGCTCTATATTGCTGGTACTCATGTTGAAAAACCTTAAAATTATTCTTAGGGGACAGACACTGTAACATTATATTACTTCAAGAATTATAACAATTTTAAGTTAAATTACATGCCCGGAAAGGAAATTTAAATGTAGGAAATAGAGAGATGGAAAGTTCCTCATTATCATTCCCTCAAAATGCTGAAGTAAAATGGGAGTTGTTGCAAAACTCAACATGGACTTTAGCAAAGCCTTTGACACCATCTCCCACAGCATTCTCCTGAAAAAGCTGGCAGCCCATGGCTTGGACAGGGGCACTCTGTGCTGGGTTAGGAACTGGCTGGTGGCTGGGCCCAGAGAGTGGTGGTGAACGGTGCTGCATCCAGTTGGTGCCGGTCACTAGTGGTGTCCCCCAGGGATCAGTGTTGGGCCCAGTCCTGTTTGATGTCTTTATTGATGATTTAGATGAGGGGATTGAGTCCACCATCAGCAAATTTGCAGGTGACACCAAGCTGGGGGGGAATGTTAATCTGCTGGAAGGCAGGAGGGCTCTGCAGAGGGACCTGGACAAGGTGGAGAGTTGGGCTGATTCCAATGAGATGAGATTCAACAAGGCCAAGTGCTGGGTCCTGCACTTTGGCCACAACAACCCCATGAGTGCTACAGGCTGGGCACAGAGTGGCTGGAGAGCAGCCAGGCAGAAAGAGACTTGGGAGTTTGGATTGACAGGAAGCTGAACATGAGCCAGCAGTGTGCCCAGGTGAC